TGACCCCAGACCAAACTCACTAGCATCATTTTCCAGCACTAACTCTTTTTCTGGATCAAAGAAAGCCAATATTCTGGGCGTTGCTACCATGCGTTTAATTTTCTCAAACATGGCTTGCTGAGGCGGTCCCCAGATTCATTCTGCATCTTTCTTAGTAAGATCTTGTAATGGTTTTGCTGCATCATGTAAGTGTGGTAGGAACTTGGACAAATAACTGACAATACCTAAAAATCTACACACTGCTTTAACATTTTTAGGTGGAGGCATATCACAGATAGATTTAATCTTCTCTGGATCAGACTGCAATCCCTCTTTGGTTATTCTGTGACCCATAAAGGTAATCTCCTCCAATTCTTTTTCAAACTTATCAGGATTCAATTTGATTCCAACATGCTTACATCGGTCGAGGAAGCTGTGCAAATTTTTGTCATGTTCCTCTTTCGTTGATCCATGAATAACCTCACGTCATCTGCAACACATACTACTCCATTCAAGTCATGAAGTGCTTCAAGCAACTTCCACTGGAACATCTCAGACGATACGGATAGTCCAAAGGGTAATCGGTTCCACTTATAACGGCTGTCTGAAACGTAGTAAATAAACTGGACTCATCATCAAGCGTAATATACCAGTAGCCAGATGAAAGATCTGCTTTACTGAAAATCGTTGACTGACCTAACTCATGTAACGTGTCGTCTAGTGTCCCCAGACTTTTTAGGAATAACCACTATGGCATTAACCCACTCAGTAGGTTGTGAAATTACACCAAGTGTTTCTAATCTATGCAGCTCTGCTTTCAATTTCGGCTTTACCGCTACCGGTACTCATCTAGTAGGCATTATAACAGGTTTCACTTCAGCGTTGGCGACGAGAGCTACTGTTCCTGGGAGGTTGCCAATGGAAGTCTTATTAAATACCTCTTGAAAATCCTCCAATTGAACGAGTACTACTCGTTCTATGTTGTGCCCGTTGCCATGAATCAGGTTGAGCCTTTTTAGGTCTTGGTAACCAATTAATGGGATTCTATCATTTTTGGTAACTACAAATTGAAGGTCATGAAATTTGCCACTGGCTGGATTATATACAACTTCCTTGGTGACACCATAAGTTTTGAGTTGCGACCCGTCCCACATTGTTAACGTTTTCTCTTCACGTCTCAGGTTTGATGCATATCGAACTGGAATGGTGTTCACTGTAGCTCCTGTGTCTATGTTAAATACTATGACCTGGTTGTTAATTTTCATCTTACATTTTAAATCATTCTGCTGCTCATCTTCTACCTTACCGATCCATTCACTGTCATCACTTGACTCGTCTACATGAGACTCATGGACATAAGCAACAGTTTTACCCTTGACCCGACGCATTTTACACTTGCTGGCGAAGTGGTTGAGTTTCCCACACTTCGAACACTTTTTCCCAAAAGCAGGACACTTGGTTCTATCCCATATGTGTGATTTACCACAAAATTTGCAGGATCTAAGTTTCTTATCTGGAGTCTTGGTGTGACATTTACCACTTTTACCGTCAGTGTTAACTTTGTTAATTGTATCCTTGACTGCCATGGACTTCATCCTTGATTCTGTACTCTCATTTAACCTACATGTTTAATTAACTGCATCGTTCAATGTTAAATTATTTTGCTCTAGGAGTTGTTTTCTCGTTCTATCACATCTAATACCGACGATTATTTTTCTCGAATTAAGTCATCTTCCAATGGACCAAAGTCACATGACTTAGCTCTTTATGTGTGGTGGCATATGTATCAATCACTTCGTCCGTTCGTTGCTCCCGTTTATTGAACTTATAGCGCTCATATGTGACACTGATACTGATTGTCTCTAAAAAGTGTGAATCGAACCTAACAATCACCTCACTGACGGGTGGTGCTTCACCGAGGTTAAAGGTATTATAGATTTTGATGGCTTTTCTTCCTATGGTATTGAGGAACACTGCTAACTGAAACTCTGGAGGTTCATTTTGTAACCCGGAGATAATCTCGTAGTTACTGTATAACTGCTTAAATAGCTTCCACTCTTCTGCATTATTACTGTTTTCTAACTGCAGCGGAGCAGGCGGGTGTACACTAATGCGGGATTTTACCTGACTTGCCTGGTGGCGATTTTTTTTTCCCGTACGAAACATTTACATGAAACTCCACACGGGCCGTCTCGGCTGAATCGACCCGAAAATCTCATTGCAGAATTCAGGAGGTCAAAAGGTCATCAACAGATAAACGTCTACAGAACAA